TGCCACACTGCCTCCGAGAGAATGATTTGAGGATGAAAACCCTGAGTAATTCTTATGGTAAAGCCTTTTCTTTGTGGACCACGTCTATGATCAAACGTTTACTGTCAGTGAACTAGCTCTGGTCTCCAATTATCTCAGAACTTTTCTAGTTTTGTCAATACATGCGGCCAGCTTTTCTGTCGATGTGCTGTATATTTCGCGTTCCGTTCGTGCAATGTGCTCCGCTATTTCGGATCCTTTATCAATGATTTTGCGGTCTTTAATGTTCCTTGATTTGCAGGCCTATTTTTCTTCATGTTTCTCCGATTTTCTTCTACTCACATTTTCCGCATTTGATGCAATAATCTTCCTAGCTATCCAGTTTCTCAGTCTTCTTGTGTTGCGTCTGCAGACTGGTGAAAAGTGTTGTCTTCTACTTTGTTATCAACTTGATGTTCAATTTCCCTACTAACGGTGCCCATTTTCGGCTCAGTTAAGATGAGGGCAGGCAAATCCACTTCTGGTCGTCCTGATTCCTGATCTGCTTTTAATAAAATCCGAATTAAATGTGCCCTTTACAACCTTTAGATTTTTTTATGAATTCTCTAGGGTATCTGTTACTATGGCAGATCCGTGTCAGTTTGTCCAATTTCTCGTTTCAGAACTCAGTGCCTGATGGTCGTAAGCATCTGATGATCAAACTCCTCAGTAGTCTGATATAAAAATTAAGGATTTTTCTCAAATATGAATACTTTCTGTATACTCTACTCATGAGTGTCCCGTTGGAGCGCATGTCTTCAATATCGTTAAAGGGTAGTCGTTCATCTTCCTCCACCTCCAAGGTGAATTAAATTTGTTCATCGAGTTGGCTAATGAAATTAAGGAAATCATTTAAATTTTCCTTACCATGTGACCAAAGTGCAAAGTAGTCATCCAAGTATCGCATAAGCACTCTTGCTCGCAGTGGTGACTTCACGAATTTCCTTTCCAACTTTTCCATGTACACATTTGCCAAAAGAAGTGAGAGTGGAGATCCCATCGATTGGTCAACTATTTGCTCGTAGACACTGCCGTTATATGCAAAATGTGGTCCATATTCTTAGGTTGATTAGCCGTGTTAACGATTATTTTCCTATCCATTCTGCTTTCAGGGTATCCTCTTCTCACTCAAATATCTCTAGCAAGGCGCTTACCGACTTCTCATTTGAGATGTCTATGTACATGGGTTGTACATCGAAACTCATCAACAGTTCAATGTCCTGAATCCTTTAAGAAAATGCATACAACTTCTTAACGGTACCCGAGCGTCTATCATTTACTTTCTTGAGCTTCAAGCAGAGGAATTTCGCTAGTTTGTGTATTGCTCCATACTTTTTGTCGACTCTTAATCTTAGCGGATTTCCTTCCGTATGTATCTTCGGTAGTCCGTAGGCTGTCGGTGGTCTTGCGTCATTTTTTATTAAGAATTTATCATCCATATATCAATTTTCCCATTTTTATGTATTTCCTTTAGCACAAAAGTCACTCCATCTTGATCTCCATATCTTTGATAACTCAGGTAATTATCAAAAAGCCTATCAGCTAAAGTCATCCGGTTTAGGCGGATTTATGAGATGCAAGCCTGTATAAAAATGGTTGTAGATGCACCTGAGTTGAATGGTTAGAAGTGGCGGAGACTGGATATGAGATATAATGAACTCAGGTGCAAAGATTTATTTATTGTAGTACGTCTGCTAAGAGACGCAACAGATAAACAGATTAAGGAATGGTGGTAAAAAGTTGAGCAACGATTGCTTATGCCCGATTAAAAGATTGAAGAAGAGATTTTGAGCCACCGGCCAAAAGAAGATCACTTTGCCAGTTCATTTATGGTTCTGATCTTATTCATATTCGTACAACATGCCTATTAAAGCAAAATAGAAGAACGAGATTATGCAATCCCAGTCATGCTTTTTCCTGTATCATTAAACCTTAATAACACCAGACTAGTAATACACGATAATAAGCCTCAGATTGTCAGGTCTTGATTACTCGGGGCTTACGTAATGCTATTTTGTAATAACTCTAAATTATACGCAATAATGCGCACAGACGCTAACAGACGAACACGCACAGGCAACTAGCCAGACCATTCTACGTCCGGTTATATCCAAATACTAATTCTTTATGAATATTCATAATATGCAGGATAGTGTCGGTCAGTATTCCCGCCCTAGTTGTAACTTAAGACTTTTGCAAGAATTAGTGCCAGATTTGATATTATTCATGATATAGTGGACGAAGTTTCGTGCGTCTTTACTCTAAGAAAGGAAGGATGTCTTGTGATAAACGTCAACCTGAACGTCGTATTGAAGAAAAAACAGGTATAATACAACGAGAATTAGCAGTTGTATTATGGTGAGCTCGACCTACGAATCTCTTCAGCATGCAATTTAACACGAAAAGTGTGTCCACAACATTTTTTATTCGTTAGAAGAGAAAAACACATCAACTTAACTTTCTACATGCTTGCACGCAAGTGGTTAAGATAGGCTCATATTAAAGTTAATTTTAAAATTGTGATATATGAGGATATTATATGGGATAATACACCAAGACAGAGTGAGAAATCCAAAGAAGTATTAGATGAATATTGACAAGATTTGAATAACAAACTCACTCTAAGAGTAGCCTCAAGTCGAGGATCTTTTATGATACTAGAGTTTAATTCCTCTTCCTCCGTTTTTCCCTCATGATCGGCATCAACCTCCATTCCAAGTTGTTTGCGCAACGAAGCTAAACGTTCCATATAAGGTCCAGTATCAAAGTGCTCCCACGAACCTGGGAGATCGGAATTTAAATGAGCATGGCCTTCGTCGACTTTCACCGAAAAGCCATTCTGAATATTTTAAATTTATAGCCAAAAAGTGATTAGATATTCGTTTTGTATACTACTGTAGAATAAAACTTCGGTTAACAATATAAAAAGGGCAAATAAATATGAGTCAATGTATAACAAAGATAAACACGTTTATACATATAAACTACAGAGGAAAATACCGAGAACAGAAAAAAACAGACATCAAACATTTGTTTAAAAACAAAGCCTCTAGCAAATATGCAGGCAATTAAGCCTTGGATCTCCAAGTCTTGATTATACAGGCCGATGTTGAGCTTTTTAGTAATTATTCTGTGTTATGACAGATATTGCTTAGGGAGGTTAATATACGCATATGCACACACATAAACACTCGAGCGTATGAAAGCTAATCGTTCTATATGCATTTAAATCCTAATATTATTTCCTTATAAGTATATATAGCATGCAGGATAGAGCCTGTCTGTCTGTCGGTCTTGGTTTGAGACTTTTGCAAAAATGAGAGGGATATATATAGTATATGAAACCAATCAGAAACATACCAAGATAGTAGGAGAGTTCTTTCGTATCGAATCTGTTGCAGAATCAAAGGAGATTCCGTCCTAAAATTCAAAAGTGAAGAGAAATAAAAAAGGTACACAATAGTTTTACAAGCTAAGTGGAGGTTTTACTCATATAATCGATGAAGGGAAATAGTTATTCAAATTAGAACATTTCAAAGTAATGAAAAATAACATAGACAAGCAATAAACATGATTTATAAAAAATACCTTATTCATTGTCTTTGTCACAGGATAGGATTTCGGTAAAGGCACGTTCGTTGCTGGATTGGAAGACATGGCTTTGAGAGTCTTAAGTATATAAGAATGAAGCTCTGAATCTTCCTGAGTAGTAAAAAAATGGTCACGAAATAGAAAAGCATAATTAAATACTTTAAGATAAAAAAGCGATAAGCCCGTTGAATAGTTGAAGATGAAGATAAGATTCAATAAGAATAACATTATATATTTACTGACTAGTGAATTAATAGAATAGGAAATTCAATGTGGGAGTAGATCCAATGTCAATTAGCCCATTATACATTATGTGCGTGTCGTTTGAATGAAAGATATCAAGAATGGAAGCAAATAGCAAAAAAAATCAGAAAGCCAAGTCAAAACTTGTGCCAATTAATTGAATAAGAGAAAAACGTGGAGATCAATTGATGGACAATAAATTCACTAATA